GTAGATGGTTACCGATCTTTTGCTGGTTTAGATTTGATAAAAAATATAGAATTCAGGAAAATGCCAGAACCGCAGTCGTGGTTATCATATTCTCCCTCCCATCTGTTTAAGGCAATAGTGAATATTTCTTGCAGTGCGTTGAGTTGCCCACGATGGTGCATCCGGCGCTGGTAGCTGCGGCCACAGCCACTTGCAACCCACAAGAGAAGGAGAATTCAGATGATGGCGGTGAATCAGAAAGTGCCGACAGCCATGATGCCGCTACGGAGGACAGCGAAACTGACAAGGAGAAAGGTCCTCCTTTCGAGGGTTTTACTCAGTACTAACAGTATTGCCTAAAATTTTGTTCTACACCGGACAGCTGCTGGAAAAAAACAAGACAAAAGCGACTCCAATTTATCAAACGGTTGGATTGGATTCTCCCACTTTAGCTAATTTCATTCTCTGTAGGTTGATTTTACTAACATCAAAATCCTGGATAAATCAAACCTAAAAAAATGCGCCTGTTCCGAGAGTTTCATAAATCTTGCCACGTCGAAATCAATAACTTGTTAATTTGAACGGGAATGATGGAAAAAACTTAAGTGCTGGCCGTGTCAACTTGCAGTAGAGTGCTGAAGTATTTTTGCAACCGCATTAAAAACCAAACGTCTCGTCAAACTAATAACACGCAAAGGGCAGCTTTGCAGCTCAGAAGGGAAACAAAATCTTTTAATGACTGTGCGTTGCTCGTTTCGTGAATCAGCCGTGATAGTACAGCGCCGGTGAAAAGGTGACCAGAGGTCGGGCATCCCTAGAAGTAAAGATGCATCTGCGTGGCGAATATGTCCAACATACTAGCAAGAGTAGCCCAAATAAAGGAGGTAGATATGAAGAGAGAAGGAAAGGAAAAAGTAATGACGCAGCCACGCCTGGCATGAGGTCAGAACACAGGAATTTTGAGAGTTCAGCAGCAGTAATGCCGGGATTGTAGTGGATACCATGTTCAGTTTACTGCCTTGTGTGCTCTTTTATTATAAACACAATTTTCGAGTAGCCAAGTACCTCGTCCTCGGGTAATAAAATGGCAGCGACTTTTGGTCGAGTTTGTGAGTGTGCTGAAATGGCTAGTTATGGCGATGGCTCAACAAATGGGCTAGCAGCTGTCATCCATACCCATCTGCAATACCAAAGTTCATCGCAGAGGTCAGCGACAGTTGTTGCCTTGGACGGGCTAATTGCACATATAAGTCGGATTTGATTTAATGATGGGGAAGATGCGGCGCGCGATAAGCTGCTACTATAAAGGGAGAGAGGAACTCGAGAAGTTTACATTTTACAGCATAAGCCAGAAGGGAGTGCACAGCAAACTGGTAGCAGTAGTCGAAAGCATCCGGATCCGACCCACTTCCGCTCCCTTTCACGATTTATATTTGATGAAAGGATCCACACCATTGGAAAAAGCATACCCACAGACCTACACTAAATCTACACAGCTGCACACGCATCGTACAGAGACACGTACCGATAGATTAACGAATAAATAGATTTGGTAATGAAGTAATTCAACACCAACCGCTTGTACAAGATGATCGCTAAGGAACTGATTACTTCTAGTTGACGGATGCTTCAAAACTTCACCTCTTTGTGGAGAGCTGCGAGAAGTAAAAAAAATTCAGAAATCAATAAATAATGTAGAGATTTACTGGCTGTTGAAATTTGAATGTGTGTGCGAAGAGCTGTTGTTGCACAGTACTTTGTCCAAAATAAATGCTCAGGAATTAAACTTCCACTGAATGTTCTTCCATAAAATAGGTCACTTGTTTTTCTATTTATCACCTGGCTGGCCTGTCTGCATCGAAAAAGGCGATGGGTGTTGACTGGAACATAGAATCATGGAGCTGGACAGAATTGCGTGTGGTGCGTGACAGCATCACTGTGAAATTACTGAAAACACGATTCCCATCGACTCTCCCGAAAGAGAGTGGACAAGGCTTGACAAGGACAAGGCTCCCGCTAAACATAAAGTATTTTTAGAGAAAGCGATCTCACTATCACTACAGCAGACGCTAAAAGAGGCACTTCGCGTGGCGGCCGCTCAACGACAGTTGCAAAAAAGCAAAGAAAAAAATAATAGTAGCAATGGTGGCAAGAACGGCTGCAGCAGTGGCAGCAGTGTTAGTAGCTCAAATGGTAACGGCGGTTCCGGCAGTAATACTTTAGCTGGTTGTTCTGCATTCCCGTTGTTTGCACCGTTCATCATACCAGGTAACAGCGTTGGTCGTCTTCATGGCGTTTGATTTCGGGTCATTTGCCTCATTGAAGTTGGTTCGTAGTTCACGACAACTGAGTTGTTTTTAGGCTTGAACTCACCCTCAACGTCGGGATCCAGCAACACAGTGATGTATCAAACGCCACAAGGGATCGTTTATGCTAATGACGAGGGTTCGTTTATGCTAATCAATCTTTTGCAGTTTCAGTTTTGATAAAAAGTTTTCATTTCATATGTGTTTTGTTCTGCAACAGTTACACGAAACGCATATTGTCCAAGCCGTCGTTTTATGTGTGTGTGTTTTGTGTACGTGTTTATGTGTGCTGTCTGTCCGTTTGTTTGACCACATATATCAACTACAAAATTAGTAATAGCTGTCGGGGAGCAATTAGTCGTCGCAGATTCTTTAACTGTTTAAAAAAACTAAAAATTAAGACGAGATTAAAGTCGGGAAGGAACTTGCAATTTGTTTGCATTTTTTTTGGGAGTGTGAAAGCAAGTTGCAGTCCCAAGTAGCGATGCATAGGCTTGCCGATGCGGTTATTTCTTTTTACATGATTTCCTTCTGTAAAGAGATCGCCTGTACTAATGCGGTGTAACTGCGGTGTTGCAATTTGATCATTTGATGCACCTGTGCACAGAGCCGGTGCTTGAGCAGAAGCTCACCTTACGCTCGGTGGCCCTCACATGAATATCAAACATCCTCAGAAAAATACCGCTTCCTGTTTATTCTAGTTAACGACTTATTTGGGTGCTACCAGTGTCCAAAACTAAACGTTCACTTGGGCCGCACGCAAGACTTAGGCATGCTTTAAAACTCAAATTGAAGTATTTCGATCGCACAGGGGTGTAGAATATCGCATAATGTTTCAGCTTCTTGCTTAGTGGCGAGACCGCTTTTTGTTTTGCGAAATCTTTGACCAACCGCGCGACACGGGTTTATCCCAAAGCTCATTTGCGACTACTTATTGGGGTATGAAAAACAAGTATTCTCGAAAAGTTAGAACGTCCTAATCAGCTGACTTTGCAGCTTGGCATCCCGTCAACGATTTCGCAGTCTCAACTTTGACGCATTCAGACATAAGGTACATGCGTGCGTTAAAGCTGAATTTGGGATCTTTAGCTTACAAAAGAACATAGAACATCCCTGTGAAATTTCAGCTGTCTTTCTTCTCTAATCCCAATTGGTTTGGTAGCTTCTCTAGTTGCTAAGTTAAAAGCGGGCAACGAAGTGCGAACACCTATTAAATAGATAACCGTATGTCAGTAAGCGATATTCATTTGCGTAAATATACAAGAATGCAAAAAAACTTGAAGATT